TAAAATTTAAATACTAAAACTTGTTGAAGGTCACTCAGGGTCATGACCTTGACAACATATGTCAAGGTCAAGGTCATTGGGAGAGATCCTCTACAGTGCACGACTATCAAACATATTTTAAAGTAGGGAATTCTCGTGTTATGTATCTGAACTTTTTTTGTTCATATTTTTTTAACGAATAACGAGCGACGGCTAAAACTTGTTGAAGGTCACTCAGGGTCATGACCTTGAAAACATATGTCAAGGTCAAGGTCATTGGAGATGGGGTCCCCTGATCAAGATATTTACCATAATATATATATATTTTTCAAAATTAATTTTTTATTTAATTCTTAATCTCTTTATTTAATTTTTAGTTAATTCAATAAAATTAATTCTTAACGTAACTTTAACTGAATTAGTATTTTGTTCATTCAACTTTCATCTTAATTTAGTTAGTAAAGAAAATATTAACTTACCCAACCGTGATAATATATATATATATATATAAGACAGCATTGTCATTATCTTTCGTTCGCCAAAATGGTCGCCAGCAGCAGCTTATACCGCCCGGACTGTTATGAAATTCGTTCCACGTTAGTGGATTAACGAATAGCGCGGTATTGTTCGATTCAATTAATGGTGGAAAATTTCCGTACTCGCATTCGAACATATCTTTTGTTATAAAACGTCGAACTGCAAGATCTAAAGGATCCATTGCTGGTAACCGACATCCTTTGTTGCGAACTAGAAAGCCACCGTTGCCTATTGGCATGTATACATTTGATGCTGTCGATACGTATTCCTCTGTAAAATTAACAATTAAAATAGATACAAAATAATAATTAAAATAAGTACGAAAATATACGAGAATGAATATAAACAAGATCAAATTGAATATAAACAAAATTTCTGCTGTTATAATAATTTACCATGAAAGATTTGTATGTTATAAAAGATTATTTTTTGTATCATTGATATATTTTTTCACGATTTATTAATTATCACCATAGAATTATATGTACGTCTTACAATTAGTAACTTAACTTTAAAATTACGTTAAAATGTAACAGCTATTTAAAATTAAACGAAGAAATAAAGTTTTATTTATTTTTATCTTTGAAGTTTAATTTTTCAATCGTTTATAATTAAAAAAATATTAATATATTGAATATTTTTAAGAAAAAAATAATTTTTTGAAATTAATACAAAGAAGTATAGGGCATATAAGAGTCAACGTAATTAATTATAAATGCAAGAACTATAATATGATATATAAAATGTATAAACAAAATTTTATAAATAATACATTGTAAAACACTATTATATATATTCATTTAAATGAATTAATTTCAGAAATTATAATTGCGTGCCCACAAATGTCTCGGTGGTCTAAAGGCTTAGGACGCTCGCACGGAATGCAAGAGATCCGGGTTCGATTCCCGGCCGAGGCAATGTTTTTCGTAATAAATTTATTACAGCTTTTTAAGATTAAATTTGGGAAATTTGGAGGATTATTAATATTTCAGATAGATTGCGCTGAAAGTCCGACAACCATATCGGTACGCAATTATAATTTCTGAAATTAATTCATTTAAATGAATATATATAATTGTTATGAATATATATAACATCTTAACATTCAGACTGTAGTGGCGCTTACCTCTGTTAAGCTAGCAGGACTAAATGAGCAGAATCGAAAAAGACCTTTCGAACTATTCAGTGCTCATTTTGTGCTAATTTGTGCTACAAAAAATAATTTTATATGTCGTTTAGAAGAAACGTGTGGTGCTGCGGGCTTAATATCAAGCTAACAGGACCACAAGAAAAAAAAAGAAAAAATAAAAATAGATTTGAATAGTACTGATTTTGTGCTAATTTGTGCTATCAGAAAAAAGTTAATATATTGATCCATTCCTCAAGAACTAACCCCTAACTGAATTAAACACTATTATGTTCAAGAGCAAAATACCCTTCGCCATGGACAGAATCAATCGCTACTCACACAATAGAAACCTTATAATTTATGCTGCCAAAATATGAAGTTTCAGATTATGTGCTCGAACCGTTCCTTCGAAAATTACCTCCGACCCCTATCAGTCTCAAAAGTAAAGTACCCTTCGCCACGAGCAGAATCAGTCGCTACTTCCACAATATTTGCGCTTTAATTTCTGCCGCCAAAATATGAAGTTTCTGACTTTGTGCCCTGATACCTGGGATTCAAATGGTAATGGTGTCCGCATGAAATACCGGATATCTGTATCTGATTCCCACTAAATAATTATTAATGTTCTTATAACATGTGTTTTAGCATAAAAAATTATAAAATACTATTCTGTGTATGGATACGTTTCAAGATCGGAAAGCAATTCGACGCGCAGATTACGGAATTAAAAATGTATATAGTTCACACTAATTAATTAAGCATTAAGACTTGAAATTATAGCGCTTCTATTGTGGAAGTATCGACTGATTCTGCTCGTGGTGATGGGTACATTACGCTTGAGCCTGATAGGGTTCGGGGGTAGTTTTCGAAGGAACGGCGCGAGCATAAAATCTGAAGTTTCATATTTTGGCAGCACAAATTATGATGCTTGTATTGTGGAAGTAGCGATTGATTCTGCCCATGACGAAGGGTACTTTGCTCTTGAACCTAATAGTGTTTAATTCAATTAGGAGTTAGTTCTTGAGGAATGGATCAATATATTAACTTTTTTTTTGATAGGACAAATTAGCACAAAATCAGTACTATTCAAATCTATTTTTATTTTTATTTTTTTCTTTTTTTTTCCTTGTGGCTTGTTAGCTTGATATTAAGCCGGCAGTGCCACACGTTTCTTCTAAATGGCATATGGTACAAAATTGTTTTTTGTAGCACAAATTAGCACAAAATGAGCACTAAATAGTTCGAAAGATCTTTTTCGATTCTGCTCATTTGGTCCTGCTAGCTTGACAGAGGTGTGGCGCTTCGTATTTACAGTAATGTTTCTAACATAAACGGTCTTATTTCCAATCTTATTATTGTAAAACACATTACACAACATGTTTCGGATTGAGTCATCCTCGGATAAAACAAAATTCACAACCTTAAAATTTATTTCCATCATCATAGACAAATCGTGATAAAAGTTATCCAATGTATATAGCGATATTGATGAATGCCTCACGGAACCATGAATTACTTGCAAGCGATTTACTGACCGAATGTTCGGAATTTCATGATATTCTAATTAAAGAAAGATATTTGTTAACCAATAAATAAAAATAAAATTAAAATCTGAATAAAATAAAAATCTGTTAAAATGTTATCTACTTTTAAAATTCTGTAAAAACCAAGCAAAAACATCATCTCAATAAAACACTCACCAACGTGATCGCAGTTATCATATTAAATATAGTGACTGTGTATTACTACTATCTGACTGGTATATACTACCTCTTATATTTTACACGATTTTATGATGAATTTGACGAAGTATTTCTTCTTAAGAAATGATAACTGCGATCACGTTGGTGAGTGTTTTATTGAGATGATGTTTTTGCTTGGTTTTTACAGAGAATTTTAAAAGTAGATAACAGATTTTAATTTTATTTAGATTTTAATTTTATTTTTATTTATTGGTTAACAAATATATTTCTTTAAAAAATACTAATTATCAAATTTTAACTCTCGAGATTGTCAAATTAAATATAATAAAACGGGCTAGTGAGAGTCAATATTGCGGTAAGTCTTGCAACATAAAATAATCTTTTTCACATAATTACTTATATTTATTATTCTTCAAACGTTTCGGCCATCATACGGGCCATCTTCAGTGAAACAATATAGCAATTGGACTTTTAATCCGAACTAGAGAGTGGCAAATCCATCCTTGTATTCATTGGCTCGAATACACGAGATTGATTAGTCTTGTGGCAATTGAATCAAAGGAAATCTAGATAATTAACCAATGCCATTAATAATCAATTCAATAAAAAACTATGATGAACAAGAAACTCACCAGCATGAACGTGAAGCCTCAAAAATATATAATATCACACGCATTACATCGAGATGTTAAATTCGTCAAAAATTATAATATACATCTATGTGAGTCAACGGATCACAGTCAAATGAGATTACAAAGTCACACAATGTATACAATGTGACAATAACTACAAGTACGTTATACGTCTGCGCGAACTTTTTAATATAATTATCGAATGCCTTCAAGGATGGGCAAATATGAATCGTGCAAATAATCTGTGTCTGATTGGAGATTTAAACTGTTCTTTTGTAACTTAATATATAGCATTTCAGCAATGCGTCTTTTGTGCAACCATCTCTCAGAATCCACTATCTCCTCGCTTTCCCAATCA